GTAATAGATGGTTTCACTTTTCTGCCTTTGGCTGTTTTGCGGGGGCCCTGCACATAGCGTTCATTGCAGTAGAGTTTATTTCAGCAAGAGACATGGCTTTCAAACAGGCCTGCATCAATACACACTTTTTTCCCCCCCGAGTAATCTCGCCAGTGGCTGTGAATCTGATAAACGTCAACATGTTGCTGTGCTAAAAAAAAAAAACTCTTTTACATGCCCTCTATACCATTTCTGTACCCTGTGTTAATGTTGCAGGATTACATTGTAAAAACATGAAAGTATGACCCACACAAGCATATCTGATACAGATTACTGGGGTCCTGCACCCTACCCTTTTCTCTGAGGGTAGCAGGACATACTCCTGCCACTGGTCACCCAAAGCTCTGGTGACCTTTGATCGCACTGTTTTCACACCTTGCCGTGGTCTGCATTTATTGCAACTTTTCCCTCAGCCACCCAATCACCACCCCATGTACAGATGACATTAAAGCAGTTTTATTTAGATTTTACTTACAAAAAGTCAAAATTATGTACAAACAATAAAAAAAACCAAACATGCTCTCTCTCGTTCCTTGCAAACATACAAAGGTTTTTTGGAATTGTAAAAGGCGTACCATAGCTAATATGACTACAAATTTAAGTCGTAAAATAATTTAAAATAGAAAATATCTGCCTGAAAAAAGTGATTATGACAGCTATATCACAGGCATCAGCTGATATAGAAAAATACTCGGTACTCGTATCAGTGCTATACTGTCTCGAGTAACTTTACAGTACATCTGCTACAGATGGTTTATTGGTAGTCGGCTTGAGGTATCGTTGTGGGGGTAGGGGGCGGCTTTGCTAAGTGTCACCGAATATCCGCGGCTGCAGAGTCCGGGAAGGTGGAGCCGGGGACCTGTTTGAAGAAGTTCCTCAGGCTGCTGAGCTCTCGGCTCAGCTGCTCGATGGTCTTGTGCAGCCGCTCGTTCTCGGTGCTCAGCTCCACCATCTTCTGCTGCATCTCCAGGTTGCGCTGTTTCGCCTTGTCCCTGCTTTTCCGCACGGCGATGTTATTCCTCTCTCGCCTCTGCCGGTACTCCAGGCTGTAGCGGTCCACCGACTTCTTGCCCTTCTCCTTGGCGACCTTGCGGGGCGACGGCTGGGCGGCGCCGGGCTCCGGGGTGGCCGGCGGCGTGGGCTGCCCGGTCTGCAGGGTCACCGTGGTCTGCGCGCACGTTTCGATCTGTGACGGCAGCGAGGCGGGCGTGTCGCTGTCACTCCAGTCGGACTCCTGCTTCACGGGAGCGTTGAAGGACCCCCTCACGAAGCTGTCATCGCCGTTCCGGAGCGGCTCCTTCAGGACGGCCGGATGCTGCGCCACGCCAGTCAGGTGGCTGAACTCGCTCTTCTCCTGCTTCACGGTGCTGAACAGGTCGGCGAAAAACTCGTCGTTGCACAGCTCCAGGTTTGGCACCGAGGACATGGAGTCGATGTAGGAAGTGAAGTCGATGGCGCTCTCGTCGTCGTACATGGCCGGAGCGGTGCTGAGCTCGGTCAGGCTGCTGTCCTCCGGCGCGGCGGCGCCCCGGCCCGGCTTGTAGACGCCCTGCAGCGCGCTCGGTCTGCTCTCGTAGAAGTTGGCAGGTTCATTCCCCCAGCCGATGCTGCACGGTGGCGAGACGCACTCCGACTCCAGCATGGACACACTCATGAATGGAGATGACAATTCCACGATGCGCGGCGAATAAACCTCGTGTCTGCAACAGGTATAAAACTGCTTAAAAAGTCCTTAAGCGGTGACCATGAGGTTCTGCGGAGGCTGATCGCGAAACACCTGCACCAGTACAAAAAAAAAAAACACACACGAATGCTCACTTTTTTTAATTCCCACTTTGATCAACCGCTTGTTGATCAGCTGCTATTCACGGCTCGATTAATTAATGTGTATCCCCCGATCACAGGCTGTGTATGCAGAAAAGCTTCATATGACTTATACATTTGCCCTAACTTCTCAAGTCTCTGAAGGTTTTGGAGTGCGTGGAGTATTTATGCGCGTCTTGTGCTGACGTCAGAGGTTCACCTCCCCTTCTACGAAGCCAGTAACGTCCAGCTCCAGCCTGACTCCCTCTGCCGGCTCCTATTTGAGGAGGGGAGGGTGGGCTCCCTCCTCCCCGCCCACCACAGGGCTGAAACACGCCGCCTGCCAAACTGACGCCAAGTTAAACCTCAACTTTTTCTCCAAGTTGTTGGAGTCGATCTCCCGGTGCCCCCCTCCCTCTACCACCACCTCCTTCCAAGGAGAATCAGTCCCTGTTTTGAATTTCACTGGTTTGTATGACAGCTCGTGTAAACAGTCAGACTGCAAAAACATGTTACTAACTATAGGAAAGTGACATGTTAAGGTGGGTGCCATCAGATTGTTTTTCTTCTCCCTTCTTCCCCTGAACAATATGAAAATATGCTGCACCGACAAGGTGTGCTTTTCCAATTTTATTTTATAGTCAATATTCATAGCTACATACTCAAAACTACTGTCAGTTATTACACTGTGCTAACGCCATTTAACGTGCGCCACTAATAATGTAGTTTGTTTACCTCCAGAATTCGTTGTGGCTAAAATAATATGACATGTAGAGCAAACTAAATATTATTCAAAGCTGCACCCCAGGAGCGTAATGTGTGAAGTATTTGTATGTATATTATTGTCGGCGCACTATGTCCAGTCACGTTTTGCCTCTGCGAGGAATGCAGCTCGTACTTTTCCAGGCGGAAAAAGTTAAAGGATTAAACTACGTTTCCGATTTTACCTTCGCCCTCTTGTGGTTGTTCGAGATGAGGCGCCTAGCGAGCATCCCGCGTCTGGACATAAAACCGCAGTAGCCTATGAGTATTAAATTACAATGTTTATCACCGTTGCAATGTAAATACATCAAAAGATGTAGTCAGAACTGGCGATGGAATTGCTGGACTTATTCCTGCTTGGTAAGTCGGTGATACGAGGCTGTGGCACGTTCGGACAATGTCACAATGTTTTGTTGATACGTCGGTGGCTTATTCCGAGTATCCGGCGCAGGGCAGTCGGATCACATTACAGCCACCACATTCGGTCATCTTCAGAATAATGTGTGCTCTCCTTTGCTAAGAGGAGCACACTTTCACCTCCTCGAGAGTGCAGGGCTTTAGGTGTGGCCCTTGGGTGTTCCCGGGCTAATGAATGTGCCCACTTAGATTCTATCAGTACTCTGAGGCTCTAAACTCTCCTTCAAGGGGTGTGATCACCAGCAGAACCCCCACACCCCTCCCACCAGAGAATTTCCCCTAGGGGTTTCCAACTGGATCAGGCATTGTCCAAAATGTCACAGACTGGTCAAACTTGCTGAGGGGGGTGGGTGGGGTGAGAGTGGGGTGCTGATGGTGAAACTTGTCTACCTGGGGGGGTTGATAGGTTTTTTTCTGGGTGTGATTGGAAGGCATGTATGCCTGGGGTCAGAAAAAAAGGCGTGGCTTGAAAATATATACCTTTTTTTTTAAATTTTTTTTTTAAATGACCAACCCCTCCCCCAAAGCACCAGCATCAGCCATAACATTAAAACCACTTGCCTGGTGCTGTGTAGCAACAGCAGAGCCAGAAATCATAGCATGTGTGAGCCAGTCCTGTAATAATTCACTTGGCAACAAAATCACAGTACAGACTCGACTGCATATTTTTTTTTTCAAATCAGTTTTTAAATGACCCGTGGTATTATTATGACCAAAGAAACAAAGTGAAAGAAAAATCTATTTGCCTCTAAACAGCCCTTTCCCTCTGATTGCTCTAATCATGCACACACATACCTGTCAGACACAATCGCTTTATCGTGTTGTATCGCTCATTGTGAAGGCTTTGTGGGTGGGCTGAGGACCACCTGGGCCCACCTTCGCCACCACGATAGTTGTGCAGGTCCACCTCTTGCTACAAAACATCTCTTACCCGGGGAGTCATGGACTCCACAAGACCTCTGAAGGTGTCCTGTGGTATCTGGACTCTACAACACCTCTGAAGGTCTCCTGTGGTATCTGGACTCTACAAGACCTCTGAAGGTCTCCTGTGGTATCTGGACTCTACAAGACCTCTGAAGGTCTCCTGTGGTATCTGACGTTAGCAGCAGATCCTTTGCCTCCTGTAAGCTGCCAGGTGGAACCTCCTCGGATTGGGTTTGTTTGTCCAGCACATCCCACAGATGCTCGATTGGGTTGAGACCTGGGGAATTTGGAGGCCAAGTCAACACCTTCAACTCTTTGTCATGTTCCTCAAACCGTTCCTGAACCATCTACAATGTGGCAGGGTGCATTATCCTGATGAAAGAAGCAACTATCATCGGGGAAGGAATGTGCTCAGTCTGCAGCAGTGTTTAGGTAGGTGGTATATGTCAAAATAAGATCTACATGAATGCCAGGACCCAAGGTTTCCCATACTGCCTCCGCCGGCTTGCCTTCTTCCCAAAGTGCATCCTGGCTCCATCCCCAGGTAAACAAGTGAGGTCAGCAAGGTCAGACCTGGGCCGCAGTCTGCTGTATTTACTGGCCCAACCGATTAGTAAAATATAATTAAAGCTGTTCAATTCCAAGATAACTAATCGATTTTCTCACAAATCTTTTTGTGAATTTACAATAAATGCATAGTAAAATCTAACAAGTCTATTTCTGTACCATCTCATGGGACGAGAAAATAATCATTAAAGATTTGCCCAGGCCTGGTCAATATCCCTGATATCTAAACCAGTGTCCTGTCATGTAGGACAGCAAGGCAAGAGAATCTGACAAGATGGCACTTCAGATGGAATTGTAGGATTTCTATGTGTCTGTTTTCTATGTATGACTGTTCATGGAAGTAAGATATACCAATGTGTGTTTCTGAATAAGGCAAAGGTAGTGGGAGGTGCTTATGAACGTATCCACAAAGATAATAATGTACCAGTAAGCTGTATATCTTTATGTTTGTAGCAGTTAGTGTGATTTCTGTGTCTGTACACACAACGTAATTGTGTGCGTGTGTGGGGATCAAATGTCCCCCACAATGTAATAAAAACCTGTTATTTTGATGTTGTGGGGACCATTTTTCAGGTCCCCTCAAAAATCTGTGATTGCAGTCGAAAAACTAAAAATTGGGATAACCTCAATTTTATAAAAAAAAATCTGTGAATGCAATCAAAAAAGTAAAAATGACAAAACGCTTTTATTTTGATTGGCTACTTATGGTTAAGGTTAGGGCTGGATAGGGGTTAAGGCTGTCATGATTTGGATTAGGGTTTTTCTCTTATAAATGAATGGATGGTCCCAATTTAGATAGGCATACCAACACGTATGTGTGTGTGAGAGAGAGAGTCTGTAGTAGAGCTGAAAGGGCAGCAGCCACTTACAGCTTTGCAGGCCTTTAAAAACATCAACAAGCTGATATTTAATAGAGCCTCTGGGGCATTTTCTGTGAAAGGATGACCAATCGCTGCAGAGAATGCAGCTTTGGGGGAGGTAACTGCTTGGAATGCTCCTGGGTCTCTTTGCAGTGTGGGAGGGATCCGCTGAGGGGGGCTGTGTTATGTAACAGCCAATCCAGACGGCAGGTCTAGTGGATTCCTTTGGGTCAAAGAGAGGTGGGCGCTGAGGCTCTCACCAATAGAGCGGAGAGGTGTGGTGTTCAACATAAACGCATGACAACTTGGTCAAAATATTCTGGAATCTTCCCAAGCAAGTAAACAGAAAATTCTACACAACAGTAGTTTTGCTGAGTAATCTTAAAGAGTCTATACCTATATTTACCCAGGCAAATCACAGACCTCAATGGTCTTAATTTGGTCTTTTATCCACAAAGTGAAAGCAGGCGGGTGATAATTGTACATTTATGACTTCATTTTTGGTGTAAATGGTGTTAAAGTTGCAATAATGTGATGACGACATGATACAAAATTTCAGTAGTTGGCCAGCAACCTGAATTTAGCAAGACTTGCAGCAGAACTAATAAAATAATTCAGCCAAGTAACAAAATGTCTTGGCACGTGAAATCTGGTGCAAGAGGTAAGGTTGTTTTTACATTTACTATTTAAAAAAAATGCAAGTGTTTTAAATATGCAGTAGGTTTAAATATAAATATGTCATGTATGTACAAATGACAAACACAGTAAATCTGCTTGTTGAATGCAGTTTCACACCCCATAACCTTCAGCGGTCTGAGAAAAAGCCTTGAGGTCTGACAGCACAGAACTTCACCTTCACCTCAGTCTGCCTGCTTCAGGTTCTGACACGCGGTCAGCTTCACTGACCCTTATAAGCTTAATTATTATGCAGTCACTGGCCGCGTACCAGAAAAATTCACAGGAAATGTGACCATATTCATAAAGCCTCTTAGAGCAGGAAATAGCGAAGCGCCTGGAAATTCCAATTGCAGAGTTATCAATGTGGGTGCTATTTTTAAACCCGAGAGTGATTGCAAACTGTCCATAATGTGCTTCTAGCATGGTTTACATTTAGAACCCTTTTTCTCTACCTGTCAAAGAGTATGTTCCAACAGAAATCATCATCAGTCTTAGGAGTGATGCTTATGAATACCAGCTCATCCGTGAATGTGCATATGTATCTAACAAAAAATGCACTTCGTTGCACGTATGAGCCAAACAGCAAACACAGCTGCATGCAGATCTATTATGCCTATCAAACAGATCATGGCGATTCCTTTCATATCACACAACACTATGGTGGCTAAAATCACTATGACACATTTTAATGCAATAGGGAATATAGAATCTAGGCATTCTTTAAAACTTTGCTGTGCTCCACAAACACTCAGGACTCATGCACGTCTCTATAACAGCAATAATGGAATCACCTACAGCCTTCCGAGCGCAGGCTGTTCACTTGCTTTCAAACGAGCAAACAGTGACATCTGCAGGAGTGAAGACGTAGTGCAGTGACGTCCTCAAAATTGAAATCACCCGGTTGTATATGAAAAGTAACATCACCCATAACTTTATTCAATCAGCTGAATCTGAAAAACGATATATCTGACCAATTATGCCCAAGCAACTAACAATCATTTACCAGCATTTTCAATTTCTCCCCATATCAAGCTGCTTTCACCACCTGTCTGTAATCTACCACCATTGTTCATGTGCCCAAAAAGTGCTTTGAGAGACTCATACATTAAGACCGTCATCCCGATCAGTCTGGATAGTTTGCTTATGGAGCAAACAGCCCAAAGCTCACTGATGCACATGGGGAGTGAAGACCAGCCTGTCTGGTTCAGTCCCACAAGAGAGCTACTGTAGTACAGATTGCTGAAAAAGTTACTGCTGGCTGTGATTGAAAGGAGTCAGGACATACAGTGCATAGCAACTTGCTGCAGATTGGGCTGTGCTGCTGCAGATTAGTCAGCCATGCTGACCCCTGTCTATTGCCAAAAGCGGCTACAATGGGCACATGAGTGTCCATCAGGGACCATGGAACAATGAAAGGTGGCCTAGCCTGATGGGTCATGTTTTCTGATACATCATGTGGACGTGTGTGTGTGTGTGTGTGTTGTTTACCTGGGGAAGCGATGGCACCAGGATGCATTATGGGAAGAAGGCCAGCCTGCGGAGGCAGTGTGATGCTCTGGGTATAATTCTGCTGGGAAACCTTGGGTCCTGGCATTCATGTGGATGTTACTTTGACACGTACCACCTCCCTAAACGTTGTTGCAGACCAAGTTCACCCCTTCATGGCAATGGTATTCCGCAGTGGCAGTGACCAATTTCATCAGGTTAATGCGCCCCTGCCACACTGCAGAGATTGTTCAGGAACGGTTTGAGGAACATGACAAAGAGTTCAAGGTGTTGATTTGGCCCCCAAATTCCTTAGATCTCCATCTGATCAAGCATCTGTGGCATGTGCTGGACAAACACATCCAATCCAAGGCGACCCCATCTCACAACTTACAGGACTTAAAAGGAGTATTATGCCTTTTTATAAATAATTATAGGCATGTTTATAATATTTTATGAATGCAGTTTAATGCATTATGATGACTACTTTAAAGCACCATCAGAGAATGAAGTTTCATTCCATCAGTGTGCAACTCACCTATAACGTCAACCTGGTTTTGGCAAATGTTGTTGCACGTTGGCCTGGATTCATGCATGATGCTTCTACTTTATGAAATGGCAGGGTAGGACATAACCTTGAGGTTGGGGCCCTTTGGGGTGGATGGCAGATTGGTATGTTGAATATACACATATTTTTAGTACTTTGAGATGTATGTCAGATGTTCGGCTGGTATGTCCCAGTGGCGCTCAAAGGAGACGGAAGCACTGGCTGTTAACCTCATAGCACCTCCCACGCAGTGAAGAGGAACACTGGTTCAGTGGGGAGCACGGAGCAGCGCATTCAGTGGTACAGCGCCAGGTGGCTGTGTTTGGACATGTCGCGTGGCATTCTGTTATACCACCAGGCAAAGGTGTGCAGATCATACTAGCATGCTGTGTCCTGCGCGACATAGCCTAACGACACAAGCCCCCCCCCCGAACCGCCATTGGAGGGAGAATGTGTGCAGATCAATGTAAGACAGACACAGGCTCTTTGACTGATTCTTTTAACAAAGAGCACATTTCGTCCAAAGTCCCTCTGATTCCCCCCAAGCGTACATTCATGGTCCTGAGCTCATCGACAGACTGAATCTGTAGGTCCATTACGGTTTCTGTGAGGATATGCACCCCCTAGTGGTAATTAATGTGCTTCGTATGACGGGAGCCGCAGGGGCGGATGGTGTCCTGATGGTCCGACGTCACCCTCCCGCATCTCGGTTACTGCATATACCCGCCTCCGCTGTGTCTGTGTCCCATGTCCCATCCGTGTCTCTCTCCAATTACTGCACCCGACCTGACGGCCAAATCAGAGTGTCCCTGTCAGGGGTCCACCACTAATATAATTTTTTCGCCTCCGATTTTATTATTATTATTTTTATTTCTGTCATTGTCCGGCTTGTCAGAGGCAGCCACACACCGCCATTCTAAATTTTTTGTCGCACCGACAGATCAAAGTACTACAACATAGTATCTTTTGGTGATCCTCTACCTCGGACAGTAAAGTTCGGACAGTTACTCTGTGGAACCCATTCTACATCCATTTGCAAAAATAATGTGCCTGGATATATTTTATATGTGATACAGCTATATAGTGTACCCTAATGATACCCTGTTCTTATCTTTTACACAGGCAAATTCTAATTCTAGAATGAATCTGTGTTAAATTATAAACTATTTTTTACATTCAGACCATCATTATGCATTTAACTTTTTGATGAGTTTCTCTTTTAAAAGTGATGGCAGGCATTCTGCCAAGACTTATAAGCCAATTATAGGAGAAATCGGGGATCAATCGATGAATAAACTGCATGTGACGCAAAGGAATAGGGACGCAAGAACACTGGATCAATGTGTTTAATATTAATATATTTATCTCTTTGCTTTGTTTTCGCAAGACAGTCTCTGTTGTGTAATGAAGAACTAACAGCCAAACTTTAAAGAACAGGACTTCTCGGGCATTACCTCGGTGATTATCTGTGTCATCTTTATTGCTAAAAATAAATCACAAACCACAAAATAGTACATAAAATATAACGAATGAAAAACAGTCGAATCTCAGAAAGCCCCGACCAATATAAAAGACAATACATTCATATTACGGCAACCAGGTAATCCATGTCAGTGAGGACACTTCCAGCTACTTCTGGTTTTTCGAACTACTAAAAACTGCTTGGCTCATTATACCGGGCTTCCGGTTTTTGCCGCGAACTTTTGGAATAAACCAACAGCATATAGGGGTTATTTAAGTAAACGTATCAATAAACACACTCATAACAAAACGTGGCATGATTTTGAAACAAAAATACAAAATAATACCTAAATATGTTTACTGTTATATTATCTCATGTTGAAGTACTTTAGTCTTTTCTAAAAGATACAATTCTTATTTTTCGGGAATCACCCTGTTGGACGCATAACAAAACAGTATCGTCTATTGTCGAAACCCCGCGAAATCTACGTCACGGACACATTTCGCGCGCTTATTTAGTAGCTTCTGCATAGACTTGTGGATAGGAAGGTACGGATTGCGTTTTGTTTTTCCTTCACTAATATAAGTGTATGTTAGTTTTTTTTTTATATATATATACGGCCGCGGTACGATTTAGAAGTGGTCGCTGAAAGTTTAATCTATGCGTTCAATTTGGTAGCCTAATGTTAATACAATATATTAATATAAGTTCACTTACGGTACTGTGCTTAAATTTCATTGTGTAATTGTTTAGTTTTAGATCGTGTCATGGTTTTTTTTTACTTGTAAGTTTTCAGTACGGATGCGCCTGATAAGCTGTTATTTGGAGTGTTGTTCATTACAGGATGTATAGCGCGATGCACTAATACTTTGTCTCGGGCGCGCTGATGTGAAAGTACATATTTGTTGTATGCTTCCTTTTATTGTGTACTTGACCGTTATGTAGCACGATTTATGATTTTTGGATTTTATTTTGGCAGCGATCATGTCTTCACCTTCTTCGACGCCGAGTAAGGGCAAACGCGGGAGACGCAGCAACCCGCAGACCCGTAAGTGGCGGTGTTTCTGTTTTTAGAAACTCAGTTTCGATCTGTGGACATGTGGGATGGATGGTGTGGTGAGCCAGACCACTAAGCCCCCTTTTGCATATGCAGCCAGGAGCGACGATGTCAGGTCTCCCCCGTCCCAGCGCCGCCGGACCGATGACACCTCCACGGGCGACCTGCAGCCCATGCCGACCTCCCCGGCCACGGACATGCGCAGTCCCGCACGCCACGACACCTCGCTGTTCTCCAGCCCGGTCCGCTCTCGGCGCTCAGGTGCTGCTTAATGTGCAGTTAATGTGCAGAAATTTAACAGCGTTTGCTGCCTGCTGGTATTGGAAACAGACGAGTGGATTACAATAATATTGAGGACAATGAATGTTATGTGAGTTCTGTGTTTCCTTAGAACAGCATCGATGGCTCTTTTACATGCTAAACTTTGACACATAACGGTATAAACCGTGCGGATTGAATAATTCAGAATTTCTCAGTAAAAGTTGAACTGGGGGTGGCCAGATAATCTGTTGGGGTGGGCACTGTCCACTTGTCAGGCCGCCGATTAGCATAGTAAATATTTTTAGCTGTATGGTTCATCACTGTCTTTGTCTGTAGTTTTCTTGCCCGGTTGTGAGTCTGTCAGTGACCTTGGCTCCCTGTGTGTTTACAGCCCCCCCCAGTGAGATTGACGTCAGCTCCCCCCTCACGTACGGCACCCCTAGCTCCAGGGTCGAGGGAACCCCCCGCAGTGGCATCCGCGGTACTCAGGCCCGGCAGCGACCCGATCTGGGCTCCGTCCGCAAGGCCCGGCAGGTCGACCTGCACTCAGACCGGGTGGGTGGATGCGCCGTTTCGGGGGAGGAGGGGGGGGGCAGGGACACTGTGAACACTGCTGCAGTGAGACGGGCTCCTGCTGGGGTGCGAGCACTGACGACAGAGCTGTTAACGTCTCGTCCTTCAGGCTGCTGGAGAGGAGGCCCACGCCAGTGAGCAGTCTGTGGGCCAGAAGCTGGTCATCTGGGGCACAGACGTCAACGTGGGGACCTGCAAGGAGAAGTTCCAGGTAATTCATCAAGCTTGATGTCTGCCAGAGGGAAAAAGCTTGTGTCTTAAGAGGCCAGTAAAACCATTGCAGCCGTATCCGGAGAATGTTATCAAGTTATGAGATCGTATTACCAGATTAGGTGTATCACTTGCGAAGCCGGACTGGTACTTATCTCCTGTGGTGATAATCTGCTTGTTGGCCTGCAGCGGTTCCTCCAGCGGTTCATCGACCCCACCTCCACCGAGGACGAGAATGCCGGCTTGGACCTCAACGAGCCCCTGTACATGCAGAAGCTGGAGGAGGTGGGGCCCCCGTTTGGCCCCGACTGTAGCCGCCGCCCGACCACGTATCCGTAAGCGTGACCCTTTCGTCTCCCGTGATCCCTCACAGATCAACGTGGTCGGGGAGCCCGTGCTGAACGTCAACTGCGGCCACCTGCAGGCTTTCGACGCTGATCTCTACAGGCAGCTCATCAGCTACCCCCAGGTACACTGGCGTCGCCTCGTCTGCCGTGTCGCGGGGACATAGGATGGCAGTCCAGCAGGGTTATTTGGTGGGGGGGTCAGTTAATGCCAACGGTCTGTTGGACTTTCACTGCTACCGCTGAACTGCTGTGAATTACCGCAGCATAAAGACTGACGTTTTTAAGCCAAAAATATTTACATTCCAAGAAAAATAGAGGTGTTTTAGATCACCTTAATTATGGCTTGACGTAATGCAAAACAACCTGAACTGGTAGGATTGTAAATCACTTCTAGATGGTTCTATTGGGCAAGTATATATTGGGGCTGGAATGAAATTTTAGTTGACGATAAATTGTCATACAAATAAAGACAATTTGTTAATTGAAATTCTGTCAGTTTTATAGCACATCATAGTCTTGGCCTGACCATAGATTAATACACATACACCTCATGAAGAAGATAAGCTATTAGCATGGAATATTGAAACACACATGAATAAAATTTTTGTTTGCTTTTAAGCTTTGTAAATAACACTGGTACAGAGCAGATATGATAAATTAAAGTTAAATACCTTGTGAAAAAAGTGTTGTCGCTACTCGCACTGTACCACCTACCCAATTTTACATCGCACGTCTGCACTGCCAGATCTGTTCATCCTACAGCAAACTATATTGTCTACATTTACAGCACACTAAGCCAGATAACTTTTTGGAATTAAGGTAGTCCTGGCTTATATATAAATGAATGAAGAAAGTCGATTTAAGCTGGGGTACCTTAAATCCGACAAGTTATCTGGCTAAGTAAGAGATCCTGCTTCGTGAATCTTGACCATACTTCCTGTAACTTTTTGTGGGGTTTGTTGCGTCACAGGAAGTCATCCCGACCTTCGACATGGCTGTGAACGAGCTCTTCTTTGAGCGATTCCCCGACTCCATCTTGGAGCATCAGATCCAGGTGCGGCCCTACAGCGCCGTCAAGACGAGGAACATGAGGAACCTCAACCCTGAAGGCGAGTGCTGACCATGGTGTCACATGGTATCGTGATGAAAGCTTGGATCAAGGTGGCTTTTGACCTTATGGAGTGGGGTTCCTCGGGGGGCTGGTGATGGCGGGCGTTAGACGCAGGTTCATGCTGAAGATGGTGACGTGGGTTCGAGCCCGTGCCTTGACCTGGCTCGCCGCCCGCTTCCTCAGATATCGACCAGCTGATCACCATCAGCGGCATGGTCATCCGCACCTCGCAGCTCATCCCCGAGATGCAGGAGGCCTTCTTCCGCTGCCAGGTGTGTGCCTTCTCAACGCGCGTGGAGGTCGACCGCGGGCGCATCGCCGAGCCCGCCGTCTGCCGCAGCTGCAACACCACCCACAGCATGGCGCTCATCCACAACCGCTCGGCCTTCTCTGACAAGCAGATGGTGAGATGGGGGGCGAGGCGAGCGAGTAGGGGCTGGGCACCTGTGGTCAAAGGTCTGGCTTTACTGCAGGGATTGATCTAAAGAAAACCAGGGGTCTCCAACTCCGGTCCTGGAGAGCTGCCATCCGGTAGGTTTTCTATCCTACCCGGCTTCTGATGAGCCACACCTGTTCTCAGGTAAATACCAGGAGCAGGTGTGACTCATCAGAAGCCAAGTAGGATAGAAAACCTACTGGATGGTAGCTCTCCAGGACCGGAGTTGGAGACTCCTGGTTTTAACTTGATTAGAAAGCAGCTGTAACCCTGAGAAGTGCTGCTTGTAGTACGTGTCACTTTTTCCGTCGTGTGGCCTAAAGCAGATATTCCTGAGAAAAATGTGGAATTAAAGCTTCTTTGTGGATTTGTGGAGCCTCCTGTGCTCCGGTGACGTCCAGGCCGTCTTCGTCCCCAGATCAAGCTGCAGGAGTCCCCCGAGGACATGCCGGCCGGACAGACGCCCCACACCACCGTGGTGTACGCCCACAATGACCTGGTGGACAAGGTTCAGCCTGGGGACAGAGTGAACATCACAGGTGAGACCTTCCCTCTGGGGTTGGAGGGATCCGTTGATCAGCTCTGAAGATGGTCGTGTTTGAATGAAGACTGCCAGTTTGTACTCCATCAGGTGATAGATTTAATATAATGCAATGGATTAAGGTTTTATGTCCATATCTTATACGTTGTTGGTTCAAATCCCTTGGGTGCCTCTATAGATATAGATATAGATATATAGATATAGAGATATAGATACATTGCCCCCTATTTTCTAGGTATCTACAGGGCAATGCCCACGAGGCTGAACCCTCGGCAAAGCAACGTGAAGTCCGTCTACAGGACCCACATAGACGCCATCCACTTCCGCAAGACGGATGAGAAGAGGCTGCACGACCTGGATGAGCAGGCCGAGGAGAAGCTCTTCACCGAGGAGCGGGTGCGAATCCTGCGGGAGCTGGCGGCCAAGCCCGACGTCTACGAGCGCCTGTCCTCCGCGCTCGCTCCCAGCATCTACGAGCACGAGGACATCAAGAAGGTGACCCTCCCTCGCTCGCTCATATTCAGGAAGGAATATTCCACAGTTAATCATTCCGTGCTGAAAATCTGAGAGTTTGGCAGGTGGTTTTGGATACGCTGAGTGCTCATAACGGCTAAAAATTCAGCCTGAATTCAGAAATTCATTTCTGACTCATCTGCTTGTCATGTTAATAAGGCAGAGGGGTATTGGGCAATCTCGCTGAAGAGGAAGAATAAATTATAAACTCCTTATAGCGGTTTTCTATTTTTTTTCTCCTCTATCTATGGCGTGTTTGTTTTGAATCAGATCAAACGGTAAAACAGCCCTCAAGCGTTACAGCGTTGGGTCTGCTCCAGGCTAATGTGTAGCATTTGTATGATCTTGTTTGTACATGGAGAGGTCTGTACTTCTATACAAGGACCTCTGTTTCCAGTCTCCATTATTTACACATGTTGGGAGTAATGTTCCGTGTTTTTTTTTTTGGGTGGCTTGTACAGTTCCTGTTTGTGTTATTGGAATTAATATGTTCTGTTTAAACCAAACAGGACTTGTATTTATATGGACATGTCTGTGACGTCTTTGACTATAGTTTCCGCTCTACTTCGAAGTACCTTTAGTTAATACTCCCACATACTGCATTTCCCTTTATCTTCTCTATCTGCCCACGCTTCTCTCCTCTTTCGTACTCTGCTGTGCCACCTAATTTTGTCACCCAATAGTTTAATCTCTTCTCTGCAGTAGTTGGTAAAATATGTGTTAGCCAGACGTACACTGTTGGGTTCTTGGTCTGTCAGTTTAATAAGCAGGCTGGGTATTGAGTGCATGTTGCCTCTTGCTGTTGCTGGCAAGTGTACAACCGGGGATTCCAGATGTTAGAAGCTAGGCAGGATCTGCCTTCAAATTAATCTATTTGTTGAAGAGGTTCAATAAATTAGTGTTCTGTATCAGGAAAAAGTACGGTAATGTGTGAATTTAACGATATTGAGCACATGATTCCAGAGTTTCTTCCTGAACTTGGCTTATCTCCAAATATTGAAACTTGTTCCTTTCTGCTGAATTGGATATTTGAAGTGGTTGGGGTGAAACGGGGGGGACAAAAGTATTCATTGTAGCAGTGAGAAAGCAGAACTTAATGAGAATGACAAAACCGGACCCACAGGTAGCTAAAGAAGGCTGTACTGGAGCTCGATTACTCGGTGGTCTCGTACACCAAAATGCAAATTATTATTAATTCGCACCTGCCTGTGAAATTCTTGACCTTCTTATAATGCAAGTTAATCTGTACCCCTTTTTCTCATTTAAATGCTACTCTTGATGTTTAAACCCCCCCCCCCTACATTTTGGCTTCCTCAAAACTGCTCCGTTAAATTGCCTCCTGTTAGTGTTTCGCTGCATTCCAACGTAATGTCGTGCTGTCGAAAGTATTCTTGACACTACTTGGTGTCGCCACCATCTTGACCTGCAGCGGTCTCTAGGTGACGTTCTGCTTGTCATCTCCCGTTGGTTCTGTTTCCAGGGCATCCTGCTGCAGCTGTTCGGCGGGACGCGGAAGGACTTCAGCCAGACGGGCCGCGGAGGCTTCCGGGCCGAGATCAACATCCTCCTGTGCGGCGACCCCGGCACCAGCAAGTCGCAGCTGCTCCAGTACGTGCATAACATGGTGCCACGCGGCCAGTACACGTCGGGCAAGGGCTCGAGTGCCGTCGGCCTCACCGCCTACGTTATGAAGGACCCCGAGACCCGGCAGCTGGTCCTGCAGACTGGCGCGCTCGTGCTCAGTGACAACGGCATCTGCTGTATCGACGAGTTTGACAAGATGAGCGACAGCACCCGCTCCGTGCTGCACGAGGTTATGGAGCAACAAACCCTGTCCATCGCCAAGGTAGGCCGGTGTCTGGGGGCATGGCAGGGGTTGCATCACAGCTGCAGCCCCCCGGGGAAAATGTGACCTTTGTCAGCTTCTAACAAATGCATTTTGGCTCTTCAGGCAGGAATCATTTGTCAGCTGAATGCCCGGACGTCCATCTTGGCTGCAGCTAATCCGGTGGAGTCTCAGTGGAATCCCAAAAAGACCACAATCGAAAACATCCAGCTCCCCCACACCCTGCTGTCCAGGTCAGTGTCTCCTGCCAGCACCTTCTGCATACTTCTTACCCCGGCTTGCATACTTTCTGCTGCCATGCTGATCTTTAAAAGTGCTCCTCTAAACCTGCTCAGTGCATCATGTGTTGGCCAAATGATGCTTTATGAACCAATTGCTGTATTTTCTGACACCACTAGATGGTGCCCTCTGTTCAAAAAAGGGCTCAATCCATGCACTAAAGTAAACCAAGAGTGCCCTCTAGTAGGGTCACAAAATACAGAAGATGGTTCATGGAGCGTCATTTAGCCGTCACTGCCATGTGCTCCTCTCACAGGTTCGACCTGATCTTCCTGATGCTGGATCCTCAGGACGAGGCCTACGACCGGCGCCTGGCCCACCACTTGGTGTCCCTGTATTACCAGAGCGAGGAGCAGCTGGAGGAGGAGTTCCTGGATATGGCTGTGCTGAAGGACTACATTGCTTATGCTCGCACTTACATCAGCCCCCGTTTGAGCGAGGAGGCCAGCCAGGCACTTATTGAGGTGTTACACGCTAACTTCTCTGTCTATACTCTGTCTATACTCGGTCTAAACTCATGTGGAGGTGGTATGTGGTTCTGCAGGATGGCACCCAGTGTCTGTGATCTGTAGATGGCTGGTTCAAGTCCCAGCCTCGGCAGACTGATATCACCGTTGGGCCCTTGAGCAAGACCCTTGACCTCCGATTGCTCCAGGGTCACACTGACACAGTGCCCTTACCCCAAACCTTGTTCTCACCTGTATATGTCTGTCTGAGAGCGTATGATGGGATAGGTGATAACTACACAATTTTCCCATAGACAGTGTTTAGGGAAGTTACTCACAGAAGTAATCCATTACAGACAGAGGTGGAAAGCTTGGGTTCGGAAAGCACAAATCCAGACCGAGGATTTGCTTCGGCCAACCAGTTGAATAGTGATTGACTGTGATTGTGACTGGTCTGGATTTGTGCTTTCCGGACCTGAACTTTCCACCTCTGTAATCGATTACTTTTTCGAATAACTTCCCCAGCACTGCCTACAGGGAAGGATGAAGTATCATAGTTTATTCTGTTCATTTTTCTACTGTAAACAGCCAAAGATGCAGCAAAGACACAGGCTACGTGGTGCTCGTAGTGAACCATAGCGTGTTAGCCTCTAAATCAGGGGTCTCCAACTCCGGTCCTGGAGAGCTACTATCCAGTAGGTTTTCTGTCCCACTTGGCTTCTGATGAGCCANACCGAGGATTTGCTTCGGCCAACCAGTTGAATAGTGATTGACTGTGATTGTGACTGGTCTGGATTTGTGCTTTCCGGACCTGAACTTTCCACCTCAGTTGGCTTCTGATGAGCCACACCTGCTCCTGGTATTTACCTGAGAACAGGTGTGGCTCATCAGAAGCCGGGAAGGATAGAAAACCGACTGGATAGTAGCTCTCCAGGACCGGAGTTGGAGACCCCTGCTCTAAACGATGGCAATTTCAGGTCCAGAAAGTAAAAATCCAGACCAAGATTTTGTTTCAACCAACCAGTTGAGTACTCTGTGACTGTGACTCTTTATGCTCAACTGGTTGGTTGAAAGTAAATCATGGCCTGGATTTTTACTTTCTGGACCTGAAATTGGCATCTCTGGCCCCTGATTAGCGTATATTGCAGCATACGAGTATCAGTTGATCGGTCGATGCATTGAAGTTCCTCTTGCTGTTACAGGCCTATGTGGACATGAGGAAGATCGGCAGTGGGCGTGGCATGGTGTCCGCCTACCCCCGGCAGCTCGAATCCCTCATTAGGCTGGCAGAGGCTCACGCCAAGGTGCGCTTCTCTGAGAAAGTGGAAAACATTGACGTGGAGGAGGCCAAGAGGCTGCACCGGGAAGCCCTGAAGCAGTCCGCCACCGATCCCCGCACCGGCTTCGTGGACATAGCAATCCTGACCACAGGTATGCCGACAGCAGGCTGCTGTGAGTCTGTCAGGGGCGGGGAACCTGTACCATGGAGGGCCGGTGTAGGTTTTTGGGAAGACCTCGCAATCAGCCAATAATAAAACTCCAGTCCTGGGGACCCACTGTGATTGGCTGATTGAGAGGTTATCCCAAAAACCCGCACCGGCTCTCCATGGACCAGTTTCCCCACCCCTGGTCTGTGTGCACCAACTAGTGCAGCGTTATCCCGATTTGGTCCTCGGGGACCCACAGACAGTCCATGTTTTTGCTACCCTATCGAGAACTGGGAGGGAGCAGAAATGTGGACTGTCTGGCAGGGAGCTCAGAGGGAGCAAAAACATGGACCGGCTGTGGGTCCCTGGGGGACCGGATTGAGAAACGGTGTACTATAGTGATGGTTAGGGTCTGCACTGCACCACACCAGAATGTTTACAGTGCCAGCTGTATTTACTCATTAGAATAAATTATTTGTACAGATAGATATGAGGTGGTTTGTTGATTATATTATAATAGTTGAAGTGAACTGCAGGCCCTTGTGGGAGTTTCCGTAAAGCTGTCGTAGACACGTCCTCCTTCAGCAGACCAGACCAACTATAAATCCATCATTGACCCTTGGTTGAGGTACTCTAAGTGCCCCTGCTTTTGCCACCTGTCCCCCCTGCCAGGAATGAGTGCCACGGCGCGTAAACGCAAAGAGGAGCTGGCACTGGCCCTGAAGAAGCTCATCCAGTCCAAGGGCAAAACCCCCGCCATGAAGTACCAGCAGCTGTTCGATGACATCCGGGGCCAATCGGATGTGGTACGTGTCAGCGCTGCACTGCCACCCGCTGTATTTATGAGGGAATTGCGTTCAGAAAGGCTAATCGTGGGAATCGCCGTCATGACTGTTTGTTTGATTTTACAAAAGCCTCAGTCTCTCTTCTTGATTACGTGCCAATATGGTGGAAGGAAGACTGACTCAGGAGATGGATGTCCAGATAAAGAGCAAAAACCTCAGTTGTGTGGAAGCGCTCCACGTTTAGAATGAATGAAAATGCAGTCGTCTGTCAGTGTTGCAAAGCAGAACTTAAATATTTATCACCACAACACGACAGCAATGCAGATGCACCTTGAAAGGAGACAGTCAGGTTTGATGGACTCGCCCAAAAATGCTAAGTTAGCTATGAATAACTAAGCTATATGTTGACTTGTCATTACTTTGCTATAAATCATTTTGCGTAATTTACTCTGTACAATCTCACGATAATCGCCACTAAAGCTAAGGCTAGCCCAGTTGCTTAGCTGTTTCATCTTGCATAATACGGCATATAATAACTATGTTCCTGTTCCTGTTCCTTTCTACTCAGGCCATAACGAAGGACATGTTCGACGAGGCCCTCCGTGCCCTGACCGACGAGGACTACCTGACTGTGACTGGGAAGACTGTCCGCCTGCTCTAATTCATTGAAGATGAATCCTGCAGTTGCAGTTCTTGCTCATTGTATCTCCTGCTTTGTGTCACTGCTTTTTATTCCCTATGTTATTTGCTAAACATAGTATGAGATTTGTGCTTTCGATTGGAAATGTATGTGTTGTGTGATAAAGGTCTGGGGTCACTCTTGTCAAATGGAAGTGTCTTGCCCGTTTTGTTCTTTTGTCCATAGTACAGGTAGATCCATACCTGGCATTTGCACCTTGCTGCAGTTTTCATTCATAAACTACAGATGATTGATTTGTGCTTGTGATACAAATGTTGCCAGTTCAAATCCCATGTCTGGTAGAGTGATGTCACTTCTGAGCCCCAGAGCAAGGCTCTGAAACCCCCAACTGCTCCAGTGGGCTGTCCAGCTTTATCAAAAATCTACGTAGCCGTGGATAAAAACGTGCTAACGTTTATTTGTAGCAGAACATGCTTCTCGGATCAAACTACTTATACACCTATGAACCATGTGGTGTACGGATATGGTGCAAATGCGAATGGCTGCTGAGCACATTGCGGGATCTCCGTACCCCATGAAGAGTAACTCGATTGATGGCAGTCCCTTTCTGTGCTGTGTAATAGAATGTTGAGTCAAGTCCTTTCTTGTATGAAAGTGGAATGCAATACTGTCTGAATGACAATGTTGTTCTGCCAGTATTGCGGTTTGAATTAATAATTGGGGAGTGTTATTGCCATTGTGGGGCATTTGAAAAGGTAAATAAAGCTATTTATTAATGGGCATCAAATTGTCAGCTGCTCGGCCAATCGGATGTTTGGGGTAGGATGTGGCCATAGGATAGCGAGCGCCCTCTTCGGAATGCCAGTCCAGCATTGGCGCTGCTCTGGGTGTGATTTTCTACTCGGGGGGGTGTGATTCTGCAGCTGCGTGTCAATCCATGTTCTGGATATATGCAAAAAAGGAAGGATTACAAAAATGGCATATGCAAATGTTTACAGAGAGGAGTTCCAACGGTCCTGGCCTGGGGTCGTCGCGGGCTGAGGTTTTAGTGTTTGTTGATTTATTTATTTTTTCCCCCCCCTCCGGTTATCCTAATTTATCTGACCAAATGCAAGACAAAGTTTAAAAATTAAGTGAATGTTGCAGTCAACTTCATGAAATCTTGATTTTTGAAATATATAACCTTACCACCTAATACGGCTGCTCCAGATTCCTCAGTGCAAGTTGTTCAGAGTTTACAAAAGCTTTACAAAGTAATATAACAATGGATGGTAAGAAAATCACTGTAGAAAACCCAGACAGTAACATACGTCATCAATTAAAATGCCTCCAGATTCTGTCCTGCATTGCAAACCAAGTCAAATCACACGCAATCACACCTCATGGATAAAGGTCAGGTGTAACTAGTGGTGATTATCGTTGTGCTTTGGTCACCTACTAGGACAAAACAAGCATAAAAAATGACATGACTTATTAAATAATCCGAATCAGAAAACCATTATTCCAGAGGAAATTGTTACACACAAGTACACAAAAAGACAAATAGACATACAGTACCACATACAACAATCATATAACACATACAAATGGTAATGGGTAAATATGACAATTAGTACAACAAATATTACAGAGATATAGATATTGATAACTGCACATGCCCTGAAAGATGGTTGTACAATCTGATGGTAATTCTTAAGAAAATGAAGTTATAGCTTTGAGTAGTGCAAATATGTGGTTTGAAGAAAAGTGAAGAAAAAAAATCAGACTTATGAAACAATACAGGCTAAGCATAAATGACATATACTTAGATTGGAATAGATATTTTGCTGATTTTTACTTTATATTATTACTATTTATTTATATCATGGATTGTTTAGCTCTTGTTTCACTTTAGGTACCAATGCAGGTATTGAAAAATAATTTGATGTCACTAAAATCAATTTGTTTCACGTAACCAGTTATTTCATAGAGATACTTGCTTTTCACTCACTTTTGGCAGTATTCTGGGCTTTGTAAAGCAGTGTAGGAGCTGTACATTATCAATCTTGAATAATTGTTCATTGTCTTGTTAAGTCCATGTTTCCTTAGTGATAGGTCATTTACATATGTAATGTGCATATGGAGGCAGACAGGCTGAAATAAATAACAATGCATGTTATTGCAGCTTAAGAACCTACACTTACACAAGTCATTTCAATGTATTTCAAACACATACTCACAATATTCCTTAAACCACTCCTCACTTCCAGAGTTCACATGCACTCGACTTGAGTTTTAATATAGAATTAATAGATGTCACATTTTCGTCTTGGTTCAAGTGCTTTTCTAATGCACAGGTGCAAGGTTAAAAGGAATTAAGTCATCCTTTAACGTGCAAGACAAGGCTACATCTTGGATGTGATCTGGGGGGGGGGTTGGCTATTCATAATATCAGGGGCCAAATCAAATTTGCCTGGGGCTTGTGAAGGAAGATCGGCATCGGGTCTGAAATCCTTGGGGCCGGCTTAAAATACTCCGGTCTATAGGCCACGGATGGGATGGACACGGGATACACATACATCCGTGATCTCATACGGATGGTTCACAGATCCCAATTAATTAACTACGAAAGGAAATCTGGAAAGAACATGCTAACTCTACACTCAGAGAGCAGTGCTGGGATTCAAACTTCTAAACCAGTGTGTGAGTTCTAGTAATCATTATAATAAATATTCAACCAGTTAGAAGAATTTTAAATAACTTAAGATTAGACCATTAAAATATATGATATATATCATAAACTTTATCGATTCAAGGGGGATATTCTTCACTCAATCAAATAATAATAATAATATAAACAAATTTTAACGTTTTAAAACGCTTAATTTTTCATTCCGCCTTAATGTTCTATAACACCTACTTATGCATTCACTATATAATCACTTTTTATTACGTCTACACTGGCCTAAGCGGCACGCGAAGGAACTCCGTCCCAAACCCTTTCCACGATGCCGCCTGTGACGCGTTAGTCACATGACCGCCAGGCCCTACGCGGTTACGTAGCGCATCCCGCTCGTTCCACTCCGCTGCTTGTGTTGCGGCGAAGACGCGCTAGTCATGTGACCGGCGTGTCAGAACTCCGTTTGGTTCTGGATTCGGCTGGACAAGATGGCGGCCTCCTCAGGTCTGTCTAACAATCAGTGAGACAAATAATCTCCTTTAATGCTGTTTGGGCGTGCCACAGTCATAAGAACGAATGCGCTGGCTTGTATATTTAGCTTAAGCGAGTAGGAACTTGGCTACTGTCTGGCAGTCAAATACATCCACCGCTTCTTAGCTAGTTGCCGAACAGGAGGAAGGTCTTCTGTGCTTCTTCACTTATTAATTATGCTGTGAATGTTGCTGATCGGAATCCGACAGTTATTATTTAGAGGGCAACTTTGGGTGCGAGCGGGCCAAACGTAGGCGTGCGGATGCGAGCAGCGTTGCGGCCGTGAGTTAAACTGCGTCGACACCTCGTTATTGAGGACTTTACATGTTAAATTTGAAGAAGACGGCGTGCACACGGCAGCACGAGTCGCGCCGCAGAGCTCCTCTCTTCAGTCAGGAAGTGCCCGAGTTCCGACTCTCGTACCTTTAATTTCTGTCGCAAATGTCACCGACCTCTATTTTTAACGATTGAAAAGCGGGCACATCTTTACAGGCTCGGTGACTAGTTATAATGGCACCCCATAAAGAGTGTTTTTCGTGATTACTCCATTGTGAGGTCGCTGGCTTGCTAAGCTAACAGTCGCGAGCCGTTTCCGCAGAACGTTACGCCGCTCGCGCTTAGGCCTCGCCGACATTAAACATGCGTACTGCAGGCTCGCGAAAAAAACGATATTTTTATTATGCGCCTCGGTCGAATTGGTGACAGTTGACGCAGAAAAGTTTTAATGCGTGTTTTTTTTTAGCTGGTTGGATGGCTAGCTGCGCAGAAACGTGCTTTGTTCTAGCTGGCCTTCCATACTGCTGGGTGTGCCTTGGTAGCGCACATTGGATAACCCTAAATACCGAGGTGGGGGAGATACCGATCGCATTTCTTTGAGCTGCTGCGTATTCCTTAAAAAAGCAGGAAGAAAAAAAGACAAGTAATGCAAACCCTCTGCTTTCGACAAAATCGTCCATGTCGAGTAAACGGGGTGTCAGATTTGTTTGTTTCATACACGATGGAGTAACTTGCCATAGAGGCCACATTTAACTATATTAAGCAACGACATTTAAACTCCGGTCCTGGGGTCCCTCTGGCTGTGCCGATCCTCATTAGGTTGCTCCGGCGGAAGCCATCACAATTTCTGTAATCTTATAAATCCAAGAAGTTGATAGGATTGTTTTTTGCTAGTAACTCTACTTGTTCCTCTTATGATTGCTGTAACTGATAAACTTTAGCTAGATTGTATAACTATGCTTCTATAAGTTCTCTTGAACAATTGGTGATTAATAACAGTAATCCGTTTTGGTCTTGTCCTTGTATTGCTCTTCTGATGTATGCACCAATCAACTGAAAGCAACTTATTATTCAAAAACAACACAAATGCGGCAATGCAATTTAAAACATTTTTAGGTTGCAGCTATTATTAGATGCCATATATAGGTTGCCAGGACTCAGGTTGAGAACTGACCTGAATCACCCCATCAGTTTGCCTTTCTCGTCACTGTTTGGAAGACAGATCTGTCCATTGACTTTGTAACTGGTTAACAATGATGCTTTTGTGATAATTTATTTTGTTCTCTGGAGTTCCAGATTGCTTGATTACATACTGTAATTAAAATAAGATGGCTAATAATTAGTTCATAAGACTCATTTGAAAAGGGGGGGGGGGTTTAAAAATACGCTTACTTAGTTTGCCTTGTGTTTGATATTTATATTTTCCCAGTGCTGTTCAACAAAACTATTTGACGGTGTTTCATTTTTGAACAGCTGTAATAATAATATTCATTCAATAAACTTTGAGGCTATTGAACGATGGGTACAACAGAGTAAATGGTTTTCAAATGTTCCAAGTAACATACTTTGGTTAAATCTGTGATGTGTGGTGTGATCTTGCTCTGGATTTTGTACCAAAGACATCAGACAGCTTGGAACTTTTTCTCAAGATTTGGTTTTGATTTTCCTCATTCAAGGAAAATATTTGTACGGGAATGCATTGCTGCACCTTTCAAGCAAGCTTGAAACCATTTACTCCTGATATAATGGGCAACCTGTCTGATGTGTCACTACATTGGTAGATGGTTAGGTTTAGTTTTTAACTAAACATAAAAAAATGCTTGTAGTTTGGTTTTAATCATATGCACGCATACTTTGTATTTGAACTTCATAATATGATTGTTATAGCCAGTTGTCACAGTATCATTTATTCTACTGGCAAATAGTGACATTGATGTAATTCGTTATGGTAGTGATTTTTGCTGAGTTGTAGTCAGCAGTGACAAATGTCAGTGCTTGTACTCAAGAAAACTCATATCAAGGCAATGAAAGGATGTCATTTGGACATTTTACTGTGGATAAGCTGTGAAAAATATTAGAGAAACAAGATTATTTTAGCAATTCAATTAAATATAGTCTTATTAGTATGTTTTGGCCATCAACCGCATAATAAGTGAATGGAAGAGGATTATATAAAGTCTTGGGCACAGTTGTGGATGGCTGCCTAATGTATGAAGTAATTCACTGCTCTTTCAAATCTTGGTGGCACTGCAATACCAGTGATCTCATCAGTATAATCAATGGTTGTGCAGTTTTGCTTCAGATATATAAGCATTTGCTAGTTGGTCAGTATAGCTTGATTTTAATTGTCTTTTTCTGCCTCAGCTTCTTTTTTTTCCTTTGACCCAAAGTAGATGTCTTGGAGATATATTATTGTGTGTAGCTAGATACTGGATCATTTTTGAAATTGGATACATTAGGTAGCAATTGCTTTTGAATGGGAACATTATCATTCACAGTTTATTGGAGATTGTACCATGTGCTTTGTTGAACTGTTCATCTTAGTTGAAACATTTACTTTACAGGATTAAGTACAGCATAAAAGTTGCCCCATAGCTAGAAATGTTACAGTAGAACATACAGCCAGTTGGTTTTCTGTGTAATTCATGCATGTTAGGTATTTACATTTGGGAAGTGGTGAAAGATTTGCCTCATTTTTCTTGTGATCATTTCTTGCCTTTTGCCTTGTCTTTCAAATATTTTGGATGAACGCAGATGTTTCCACATGCAGCTTAATCCCGTGATGTATTTTATTTGTCATTTGTAGAAGGTGAGTTAGCATAGCTTTTGCAGGAATCGCTAATTTCCTGCAGCAATCTGTGCATTCCATTGCTGGCTGTGCCCACACCCTCCCCCACCCCCCATGCAGGGCCTGAATAGGGGTTGTTTTTTGTCCTAAAGTTGTAAATGAACAATGGGATGCTCATCTTTTATGGTACGTGCACATTTGTTTGTCATTACAAATACAAAAAGTTATGTTGAGAAATGCATTTTCAACCATTTTAAGATGCTTTCTGCAGTTCTGCAGTGTTATAAAAAGACACCATTTCCCTTGTAAATTGCCTAATTGTAAGCATAGTTGCAAGCACTGTTTTGCAGTCATTGAGAAGGTGCAATGTAGGGGGGGGAAAAACATCCCTGTGCTAAATGCATATTTTCATGACATTGTTGAATGTCAACTCGTGTTTATCTAGAATAATGTATACATTGTGTTTTTATTATTATTTAATCCTGTTGACTGTTTGCTTTGATTTGTTTATTATTGCAGGAGTCAAAGTTCCCCGCAATTTTCGTTTGCTGGAAGAGCTTGAAGAAGGCCAGAAGGGAGTAGGTGATGGAACGGTCAGCTGGGGCCTGGAGGACGACGAAGACATGACTCTCACAAGATGGACAGGCATGATCATTGGACCTGCGCGGGTGAGCTTGCAGCCAACGCAGCTTCCTCTAGTCGACCATAAGCTCTTCGTATTATGCATTCAAAGAGCTCCTTCTTCGTCTGTTAGCTGATCGGTATTATAACATTATTCAGAGTCCCATAAATAACGGCTGATGAAAAAATTTCAACAAAACAAAATAAACTAGATTAGATTAGATTAGACTTTATTAATCCCACAATGGGGAAATTCTTTGAGAAAACAGCAGCAATAATGAAAAAAGACAGTACAAAAAAAGGACAGGATCCATAGGATCAGCAAAAAAATAACAATACAGATAATAAAAACAATAGAAAACAATTTCTAAAACTGTTAAAAATATATAAGTAAAAATGTAAGAAAAAAAGAAACATTTACACAATGCTAGGTATATGGATAGCAACTTTAAACTACCATTTAAAGTTGTTAAATCTGATTCCTGTCTCCATGTAAACATTTATTGACTGAACTTAGTTCTAGCTCTGAGCCAGAGATGCTGATATGGCAATAAACTTTAGCTACCTACCTACCTAGCTCAGGGGCCGGTGCATGTATTAATGTACCTGCCATTCAACAACAGTAGCAAAGGGTAGTGTTGGTAAGTGGTGAACATCCAAAATTGCTGCTTAAAATTTAAAGGGTGGGGGTACTATAGAGTTATAAGGTCCTGAAATTGGATGGTTTTGCTGCATTGGCCATTAAATAATTGCAGTTATACGCGTCTGGCACCCTTTTAAGAATGTGATGCATCTCATAAATAAAACGGAGGTGGCTTTTTGAATAAAGGTAACTTTATGAAGTGACAATTCATTATGATTTTGTCTGCCCTCCCATCCTATTACTTGATTTAATATAGCTTGACTGTTTGGTTACGCTTTGAATAAGCCTCCCTTTAATTTCCTTCTCGCATGTCTAAAGATGTCATAAGTGATGTAGCTGCAGAGCATGAGATTGCCGCAGAGTTTAATTTTTGCAGCAGCACTGAATGCTTTGCTTGAGGTTGGCAGTATTGATGACAGCTAATTTTGGCCTCTTTAGAATTATTTAAAGAATATCATGAATACATTTCTATATAAGTATGTCTAGATCTGCTCATTTTGGCTTCAGGCTTTACTTCATTACTCTGCTTTTCATATCTTCTTGGAATGAGAACCAACTGCTTCTGTGGTAAAACTCCAGAAGTATACAAATCTGTAGACCTTTTTATAGAAGGGAAGGACAGACGTACCATTTCTCTATTATTATTATTATTATTATTTTTTCTCTGGTGTAAATAGATAAGCCATTTTCAGTACATTTTGTGGTTGGACCTTAACACATCGGAATGGTATGCTTCCTAAATCACTCCCATAGATTGGTGTAAAGTGAACATTACTTGGCTGTAAGATGTAGACGATTTCTCGGTCTTCTAAGGGTAGCTTAGGTCTTATCAGTTACCTGGCGTCTGATGATGAAGTGCTTGGTGGGATCATTTTGCAAAGTTTGCCGAGCAGCGACTCGAGGATTAAATAACGCAGTCCTGTGTGTTTCTTTTCTAGACTAACTATGAAAACCGAATATACAGCCTCAAAGTAGAATGTGGACCTAAATACCCAGAAGTACCACCGTCTGTTAGATTTGTAACGAAAATTAGTATGAATGGCATAAATAATTCCAACGGAACGGTAAGTTGAAGTTATGTATTTTTGGGGGCTCATGTTCTTAGTTTGCATGCTTGTATTATTCATAATACAATTCTTTGTTTTTAAACACTGAAATTGCATTTTATAGACTTAAATTGGTGTTAGTTTATTGCTGTGTTATAACTGCCATTGTTATTATATTATCTTAGTTGTCACGGAGTTTAAGGCAGTTGTTCAAAGCAGGATCCTATATATGTGTTTAAGTGGTTGTGTAGCAGTGTAGATTGTATTTGTATTCCCTTGCTTTTCCTGATGGCATGAATTATGCTGCATTGGGCCACTGCCATCCATCCAGGTCAAAGTTGCTGAGTGTTATAGATCTGACCCCGGCCCAGTCTGTTGCTCTCTGTGTAGGTCAGCACTTTTACTAGCTGAACCAGTTCTATGTAATGTTCCATCTGCATCTTTACAATCCTTTCCCTTTCAAAGGTGTCCTTGGCTAATGGAAGATGCCGGAATTGTGGCATTTGGAATTAGCATCCGTTCTTGCTGATTAATCAGTTTTTGTCCTTGCAGGTGGATGCACGTAGCATACCAATTCTAGCAAAATGGCAAAATTCTTATAGCATTAAAGTTGTTCTTCAAGAGCTGCGGCGTCTAATGATGTCCAAAGAGAATATGAAGCTTCCACAACCACCAGAAGGACAGACCTACAGCAATTAATTCTAATAGATCCTTTTGACCCTCTGTCTTAAATCTCCTCTTAAATGTCTTGTAAATTTTCACAATGCTCACCAACCACGCAAAGGATTTCATCTTAAGGTCAGGATTGGGACATTTTTGTTCATTAAATCAAAACATCCAATAAAATTTCCTGTTCTTTGTGGCAGTTGAAAGATTGAAACGAGAACCGCTCCGAGTAATTTTGTTCTTATTCAAGGCACTCAGAATATGAACGTGGAAACTTAAGACGGCTTTCTGCTTAGAGAAAAGCATGACCCACACGGTCGTTGCTGCAAACCTAAACGTATGTTAAGATGACTGGTCACCATAAAACATAGAATGTGTATATAGAGGCATGCTTTAAATGACATTAATAATGAGCTGCATATTAAGTTGTATGTTAGTGAAACCTAGCGGTACACTAAACTATGTTGCAGAATCTGTTCATAAGTATTAAAGTGTGGCGGTAGACTACTAGTAGTATCACAGAGTGTTAAGGGTTGTTTTTCATATCTGTATTTATGACACAATACCAGCTGATTTCTGTTAAGCAGCTCTGTGTATGTACCAGTAATTGCAGATTTGTCTTTGTTCTAAACAACATGCATTTAACTTTAGTGAAAATAAGACAATAGGTGTATGGAAATGTCATTTTCTGAGATTAAAATCGGTCTGCAATTTAAATATGGACTTTCTTTTTTCCTTGGCAAACTATGTATGCCCTCATGGTACATTCTTCCATATACAAAAATGATTGGTAATGTTTTATTGCAGTGCATGTGGGAAGGAATAAGCCTCTAATCACAAAGGGACTCATGATGACCGGCTGCCAGTTTAGTTTTCGCTGTATGCTTCTGGTTGGTTTGGTGTTTGTTTGCTTTTGTTTTAAACACGAGCTGGCCAGATCCGCACATGTCCCAGTCTGATGATGTCTATTTCTGAGCCACGTGCTTTTCTCTATAAACCATGCATTGGCCTTAAACATCTAGTGGTTGAATCCAGGGAGCTTAGCCTTTTCAAAATGCCTGCCAAGCATCTACATATGGATGATTGTTTTAATACAGTTTTTTTTTTTTGGTCCAGTTATACTGTTGAGAAACTCAGTTTTGTTACATGTATGGTGTCTCCCCTGATGCAGAACTTAGGTTAAAGTATGACCTGTCGGAGGCTTAAAAATCGGCCACTTAAAATGCTCTTTGTTGAGTGGAATTGACAATATTGCTTTAAATGACTTTGTAAACCTACATCCTTTGGGTTTCCAAGATGTTTGTTTTTCTGTACTTTTCTTTTGTTTGTTTGTTTTTATTTTTTCTGGTTAAGCTTTAACCGTTAAGGTGCCAAGACAGACACAGTGGGCACAAATGTTGGAAAGAAGGTGAGCGATTCTTGTACCTGCAACGATTAGCTGTTAATAAAGATTCTCTGTACCTTACGATACGGTGGACCAGAATCCACTGGGTTGGAGTGTTTGATTAATAAAGCTTCAAGTCAAACTGATGCATTGCTGTGGAGGTCCATTGAGCTGTGATTTGGGAGGTGTGTCATGTGATGCAAAGCCCACTGGCCTTTTATTCCCCGTAAGCTTTGAACCACCTTAAACTTGCCAGACCGGATTGTTAATCTATAAACTTCTCTCCAAGCTTCAGTGAAGCTATTTATGAATTCATGCCACTTCGCAAGTGGCTTCCAGTGAATTGTTTTGATGGCGACCAGGTGCATGTAACATGATTTGGACGACAGGTGGCCTATTCCCGTTACTCCTTCCTGTACGCTTGCCGTTGTCATTACATGAGCCGTGCGGTAGCATCACCTATTGAATCCCAGCTGACCGCTCTATGTAAAGCTGACTCTTCTTATGTGATACCTTGTTGAAGTACATCTATCTGGATTTGTCTTCTCGGGGGGGAGGATTCACAAGATTACTGCATATAAATGCATCAATTAAACAGTGAAATTCAACTCAAATCGTGTAAAAGATGCAGAATATGTTTTCAGAATCTAATGCTAGTATGTTACTTGTCAGTCCAGACCGACTTCCCTTAATTTAAGGCCGCAATTCCCAATCTGGTCCTTGGGGACTGTCTGATGGAGATCTTGGAGGGAGCAAAAACATGAACCGGCTGTGGGTCCCTCAGGACCGGATTGGGAAACACTGTTGTCCTGAGTTCTCTTAGAGCAACATGCCTTGTGACTTCAGTAGTCTGTATTGGTCGATAGTATTTTGATTAAAAACAGAAACGTTGGGGGTTTTCGGGATGAACGTGATAATGTAAGACTTCTCATGATGAATTTGCAAGCTCGATTTCATTATTTGATTACTTTTGTCTTAAGTATGACTGAAAGCTGTGGATTATGTTTTGTCCATCTAGTTATGGGGGCAGTGAGTTGAAAGGCCTTTTATGCAGGCATTCTGTGGACTGGATTAGACTGATTTGTGGATGCCTCAGCATTTTGCGAATTTTGAGGATAGTTGGAAGGAAGCAGAACTTGGGGCTTCACAGCTGTGAAGTTTGTCGTATTAAGCTTATTAAAGTAGAAGAACATAAAATGAACATTTTCATATGGTTAGTCATATTAAGGCCTATTGCAGTGCCATTATGTGCCAGATGGAAGCTTGTTATTGGTTTAGCTTGATTCAGCACAATAACCTTGAAGTTATGAGAGTGTTTCAGCCCCACGCCTGTAGGTGCCTTTCAATCGCTTTATATTTCTACAGAGTTGTGTAGCTTGTGCATCTCCACAGGGCCCCATTTTTTCTGACTTGTCTCGACTGTTTGTCAGACCTTGATGAAGCATTTTGGTTTGCCGCTGGATAGGCCTTGTGACAGCTGGTACATATTCACCTATTCTTTGCCAGGAAATCGGGCACGAGGCGAAACGCAGACACGATGGCAATTTAGTACAGCGCACTGGGACTGGCACCTGTGCACGTTTAGGGAAATTTAGAAAGAGCAGTTCACCTAAACGCATGCTTTTGAACTGGGGGAGGAAAGTAGAGGACACGCGGTGGACCATGTAAGCTCAAATAATTCAAAATGTGCTTTGAAATACTGTTTCGCACACGAACACATTATTAGCATGTCCTTACCTTCTTCATGCTCATCCATTTTAACTGTGCTATTAATCTGTACCGCTTTACATTTTTGAAAGCATCAATATGGGTGCCTACCTGGCTGATTGGCCCACTGTTACTTACTGGTGAAGATCCACCTGCATGTGCTAAATATCACCCTCCTTTAGCTGTTAAACACATTCTGCTATATCTGCCTTAGGCAGACTTCCTGTTTTACTGACCCGTTAGAAGATGTTTCAGAGAAGTTTAGCCTGAAGCTTTTTTTTTTTTTAGATCAAATGCTAATCTTAAGCTTCTTAACTCCTTGTAACATACAGTGATTTATGAAGCTTCCACCTTTTCCTTTCTTCAGTGTTTTAACACCAATTCCCATTCACCATAAATATAGCCGTAGTTGTTGGCATGGCATTAAGCATCAGTGTCACTAACTAATGCAGCAATATGACCAGCCTTGTTTCCATGAATAGAAGCAGCAGATGTTCATTCCTACATTAGATTTGCACGGCGACTAGACTTTCAGTAAAATGAAATGTCTCCTAGTCCCTTCAGCCGCTGAGTTTTTTTTTTCTTTTTTTTTGTTCAGGAAAAACAAAAGCCTCCCTTTCATACAATGCAGGGTCCTTTGTATATATATAATTGACCCGTCACTGGAAAAGTAAGGAAGGGAAATGTGGTATGGGTGCCCAGATACCATCAGTGGAAGATTCTTGATTAAGAGATGACACTGGCCATTTGGCTCCAGTGCTTAGAGGAGGCTTTGATTTTCCATTTTTCAAACTTCCATAACAGTTTATGCAGTGTCAGGTCACTGTAACATTTGACTGTAATTTTTTTTAACTGTAATAATGGGGCAGTGTGTGGCTCAGTGGGACAAGCTTCTGTACCCATGATCAGAAGGTCACCGGTTCGAGCCCAGCCTCAGCAGAATAGTCACCTCTGTGGGTCCCAGAGCGACGCTTCTAACTCACAAGCTCCTGATGGCTACTGTTTACTATCAAGCTTGCTCTCATCTGTGTCATGGAGAGCAAGTGTAGATAACAACTGTGACCATTAATATGTTAACAGAATGTATCGTGTTTAAATGTACGCTCACGAGGCACCTTTGTTAGGGACGTTGACCAAGGTCCCAGCAGCTCTAAGAAGTAGGAACCATTACTTTTACTCAGGACTCCAGGCTTCCTGTCCACTGTAATAAATCATGCAAGGCACAGGGACTCAATTCAGAAAAGAAAACGGCTGAATACTTAGCCGCTCCATGGGACCATAAAGCTCTCCTTTAGCTTAGTTTGATTTCTAGAATTTACTACAAGTATCTCCGAAAGCAAATGCAGAAACATCCTTTCTGTTTTCCCACTCTAAGCACAGACTGCTGGGTGCTTTGAGGGCTTCATAAAAACCGTCTGGCTGGACCTGCACAGAAGAGTGTTTTGCGAGTAGAAGATGATGCACCTCCATGCACTGTTGCACTCAGAACCTTGGGTCTTCACCCACAGCTGTATGACATGTTCTTGTAGACATGGGTGATGAGGCCTTCAGCTCCTTTGAGTACCCTAAGACAGCCTCTACTATTGAGTTACCACACTAATGTTACCAATTTTAGAAGTGCACGCTAGCAGGAAATGCACCCATTTTTACACTCTCATGGAGCTTTGAGCCTACCCAAGCCACCCACATGGGGGGGACGTACTCTCAGTGAGATTGCTCTTTAGATAATCCATCCACCTTCCAGCCATTTCACCTGTACATTTTCACAGGGATTGACATTGCACCCTTGCCCCGTGTGTGGAGTCGGCATGGTTTCACTATGCCACATGGGTTTAGGTTAGGCTAACTGGCACCTGTAAATAGCCTGTAGCGTATGAGTGTGTCTGCTCTGTGATGGACTTGCATTCCATTCCAATTGTACCCATAGATTTCAGGTCCAGGATTAACGATTGGAAAATGGATGGGATTACGTTGGAGTTTTGAAGTTTAACCACTAGGTGCCACTATTGCTCTCTGCTTTGTAGCATGTTGTACTTTATCCATTTAAAGAGAAAAGGAATCTTGCTTTTGTTGCCGGTTCTTACAATTCCGTATGCTGTCTAAAGGTCTCATTTCTTGATGTGACATGAAAAGTTTGTTACATAAATAAATAAAAGAACAGCTATCTAGGGATTTTTGGTGATGCAATCAATAAGAAAAACTACTAATTATTATAGCATCAGCGGTTATACATCATTCTGAGGAATGTAAATGTATGTGTATGTGTCTTAGCAAATAAATAATGTAAATAAATCTGACACAAATGTTATCGGCACGATGTTTTGGAGTTGCTGAAATATGGATGAATGTTGTGGATGAGTCCGAACGGTGCGGCAGCAATGGGTATGTGGACAGGAACCCAGATACAAGGTGAAATGAACACCCTCCAGAATGAAACAAACAGCCACACCTGCAGTTCTGTTTGCCGCCACTGTGGGGCGTTAGCAAGCCAGAGTGGAAATTGCCACGCGTCTCCCAAGGACATTCTCCCTGCCTGTTGTTTTCGTTCCAGGCTATGTGATGTTACTGCCACATAGTCCCGTTCATCCCAGAAAATCCCCCCTCCCAGTAACAGGGGGCTGAGTGCAATAGTCATATCAACAACTGACTTCCTACTGACTGGGTGTCTTTCAATTCTGCGGGTGAAACTGCAGTTAATAAGCAGTATAAATGGTGTGATTTATACCTCATGTTCATTATTCTGTGGTATGAACAAAATCAAGACCAGCCGGAATCATTTACCATTTAGGCAAGATATAAAATAGATTATACATACACGTACCCCTACTATACATATACTCTTGGGATACATTATTTGGTACCCCTACTATACATACACTCTTGGGATACATTATTTGGTACCCCTACTATACGTACACTCTTGGGATACATTATTTGGTACACCTACTATACATATACTCTTGGGATACATTATTTGGTACCCCTACTATACATACACTCTTGGGATACTCAGGGTTTGATGAGTTGTGCGTTCAGAGTTGACTTTCTTGCATGGAACTGTTCTTTTTGCACTTGTGGGCTTCCTGATCGTTTTAACGAGTCTGGCCATTCTCATCTGACCTCCCTCATTAACTAGATGTTTTTGGCAACAGAAACGCCGCTGACTGGATGTTTTTCGTTTATTGCACCATTTTCTGTAAACACTGGAGAATGTAGTATGTAAAAATCCCACGAGGCTTGTCTGTTTCTGAGATGCTGTAACCACTGCGTCTGGCACCAACCATCACACCACGTTTAAAATGACTTAGATCACATGTTTTAGCCGGTCTAACTCTTGGCCACACAGTAAGTCAGCTTTTCGACTGTGTCTGCATGCTGTATGTATTTAGTTGCAGCCACATGATTGGCTGTTCGAAGGAGCGGTCTGTCTGTGTTAATG